CTAGGAAGGGGAGGAACAAGGGAAAACATGAGCTTTTCCCCGTGGACCGACCCGTGACGCGATCCTATTCCCGGGCCCATAACATTGAACCTCCTTGCCAACAAAAATATGAGGTGTGACTGTGTTTTGGTATTTAAGGAGCCACCAACATAAATTTGTCCATTAATAGCATCATTGTTAAAGTGGACAGTGACTGGATGATATTATATATTATCTCATAAAATTTCATGGAGAGGTATTCCTGTATGTCATATCTTTCATTTTAACAGTTATGAGTTCTATCTTTGTTTTATATGCAGCTGTACTTTGTCATGAGCACAATTCAGTGGATAACTTGCATGAGAACTGTAACTTCGACTCCTGCATGTCAGAGGCAAGCATATCCCTTGCTCTTGCTTATAGTTGTAGCTAGATTCATTCTGCAGCAAAAAAAAAAAAAGGCAGATTTATTTAAAACTGTTTGGTAACTGGGTGGAAGAGTAACATTCTCTACTTTCTGTATGGATAGGTTGTCTATTCTCCTCCACAGCCAGACTGCTCTGGTCTTCAGTTAGATGCTAAAGTCCTTAACATTTCTATAGCTGAAAAGAAGGTAGTATGATGTCACCCTCTACACCTGCTTGTCTTTTGAAAGAATTTTAGTTTATTTTTCTGTTACTGCCTTACTGGAACAACAGAAACATTTTGTTAGGGCTTTATCCGTTTACCAGATGCCATTTTGGTTTTGCTGCCTCTCCCACCCACCCACCAGAAAAAGTATCATAATTTGGTACTTATATATAATTATTGCATTAAGAATTCTTCAAAGTTTGGGTGAGACTTGATTTTGAAGAATTTCTATTTAAAATTAAATGGTAAAACTACCACCCTTTAGAAAGCCCTGTTCATATTTCAGTGTTATCTTTGAGAAAACAAGCCTGAAGTAGATATTCATTTCATGGTTCAGAATAATTGCCTCCCACCGGTCAGCCAGTAAGATTGTGAGAGTACCATAGCTGAAGCAGAAGCAGAAGCAATGGAAAGAGCAAGGTTGTTATTATCAGAAGTTTTATTACTGGATGGTAAGCCTTGGTAGTAAGGACTTGAGAACCTTCTATTTGTTTTAAACAACATGGGTATCATGGTGTCTGGGCAACATATCTCCCCAGAATCCCTAATTGGATTTTTTGTAGTCCACCAGTTTTGTCACAGTTCCACTCCAGAGATCTTTCAAGGAATAGACAAGTACCTCCTTGCTCAGCTTGGATATCCAGGTCTTATCTATGTTAGTTTCGAGTTTATTTTCTTAAATAGAATGTAATAGCAAAACAAGGAATATAGTGATAAAAGGAAAAGCTGCACTTTGACTGTTCTGCGGACTAAACATGCCAACTGCCAAGGGTAGAGAGCTCAATTTTGCTGTGACACGGTATTAGGGCAGGACTAAAACCAATGTAATGTTGTGGCTTCACACAACGTCACTTCATCTAATTCAAGATGGGGCGACGACAATTGATCGAAGGCTTTGATTTTGTTAGCAAAAGTCATTTGGAGGGCCCGATGAGTTGATGACCACGTTAGATGGCATCATACACCAGCAGACCAGCTAAGCATAGTTCTTCCCTGGGCTGTCTTTTGGGAAAGCATCAGATTGATTCTTCTTCAATTGTCCTCCGGCACAACCCCACAACGCCACAACCTTTGAAGTGTAGCCTTAATACAATATAACCGCTTTGAGTTGAAATATATTATATGCCCAACCGAAACAGCTGTCTAACTAGAAAATAGAGGCAAGAACGCAACAGTATAGCCATTTTTCCCTTTTCCCTTTCTTCTCTTGGAGTTTGCACACCACCTCTCCTTTCCTATCTTTTCTAATAAATCTAAACATAACCAAACTATTCATAACTTAAGAATAAATATTGAAGCCTCCAAGCTAGCCAACAACAATTTCATCTTCGAAACTGATGCATCCCAAATGGTGGAAGCAATTAAGAAGTCCAATCTCTGGAGATTTTCTATGGTTGGATCTACTCTATCAGACATTTCTGATCTTCAGAGGTATTTTTGCCGGTTACTCTATCAAGCAGACTGTACTCTGCGAACTGTCTAGCTCACTCTGTCGCTAAGCGGTCTTTCAATACGCCGGTTGAGCTTCGAATTCGCAGCCAACATAGCTCTCCCTAAGACTGTTTGGTTTGAAGGAAAAGGTAGGGAAAGGCTGGGAAACTTTTACAAGGTTTGTACATATTTTCGTTTCCTTTTCTTTCTCTACCTTTTCCTTCAAACCAAACATATCCTAAATGGATTATTGACATCCTTTCCTCTGACAGTCTGAATATGTCACCCCCCCACACCCCCAAAAAAAAAAAAAAAAACAATGTACTAACTGAATCTAATTCCATAATCTTCATTGGTTCTCATTGCGAATCCGCCATTTGGATTGTTTTGGACCTTTTTGTTTTACTTAGCTTTTATGCTATCAAATTTAACTTTATGACCTGCAAATTTAAGTATCTATTTTATAATAGTATAAATAATTTAAACATATGCCTATTGGTTATTATGTTAGTTTACTTGCATTTTTTCCCCTCTCCCCGTTTCTGTAAAAAGCATTACAAGACCAGCGAATAGCAATTAGGAAAAAGGACAAAAACAATAGTCCATACTGTCTCTAGTGCATTATTGTTTAGTTGACTTTCCTCGCTCTCTTCCAAAAAGCAAAAATGTGTAAAAGGCTCCTGTTCCCCTTAATTCCCCACATTAGGGGTGTTTATGGGTTGGGTTGGGTTTTATTGATTAAATCAAACCAATTTAAACATAAAGGGTTGGTTTGAATCGGTTTATCGGTTTAGTTGATTTATATAACAATTAAAATAGTTAGTTTTAAACAGTCCAATGTGAACACCCTTGGTCGGTTCGGCTCTAAAACTCTAACAGATAACATGCAACAGTTGAAGACTTCAACGGTCCCAATTCCCAACGTATCTATCCATTCCAAGACTCCTTAACAGTAATGGTTGCTTGTTTCCAAAAAAAAAAAAAGCAATGGTTGTTAAACCCAAAAATGTAATAAATAAACTAATAAAGGGAATAAATAACTTAAATTTTAAGTTAACTATGATAGAGAGTAGGGAAAGACTAAGGACTACTGAGTAGGGACTAATTAATAATTATTTAAACATATAGGGTTGGGTCGGTTTGGTTCGATTTCGGTTTTCATACAGTGGGTTTTTCTCACACAAACTGAAACTGATAAGTGATTTTAAAAACCTGACCAACTCAGATTGGATAATTTGGATCAGGCCGGTTTGGTTGGTTTGACATTTAATGTGAACATCCCTACCCCACATAGAACAACCCACTGACATCTATGATATTTGTTTTTCTTTTGGCTCAGTTTGGAAGGAGTACAAATATAAATATGTAGAGTGCAAAACTTTATATTTTGTATTATTTCCAATGTATTTGTACTATACATATTTATATTTGTACTCTTTCCAAACTGAGCCTTTATTTTATTTTATTTTTTTGATATGCTTGTTCTAATAAATTTCTGAAACTTATTACGTGATTGAACTGATTGAAAACCCGGACAGTTTTCAAGCCTGCTAGTTTGATAACTTTCATATTATAAAATCAAAAGATTGAGGGTATTGGGAGATTTAAACCTGGGTTATTTTCATGGAAATTGAGATACCTTGAATCAAAAGATGATTCGTGCACTGAATGGTTAGCCCATGTTCAAAATTCAAGCCGTTCTGTCTATTTGGACTGGTCAAGTTTAGACATTTATCTCAGAGTCAAGTCTTGAATGTTCAACTAACAGGGATTGGATGAAAGTAACTACTTGGAAATAGTGTAAATAGAGTGTAAATGCTGGTTTAATGTAAATATGCATTTCGATGATTCAATATTTGGTGTTTGACAATAATACATTTATGCATTGATAATAACAAAAAATACAATTTCCAAAACATATTTATATAGAAAATGAGATGTAATTTTACATTGAAAAAAAGAAAGCATATTGGGCTTTTGTGAAAATAGGTATATTAGTTTATCAAGATGGTACAGCTAAAAGTTGTTCAAACCTTCCTTTGAAAAATACACACGCAATCAAATCAATAACATCTAACCACTCAGGTTGGTACGTTCATGGCGCATAAAAGTCTTTGTGACCTGGAAAAGTTGAAAGTTGAAACCTAAAGGATTGGTGAAGGTTGACAATAAAACTTGGCAATTATACTGTCACCGTCACCGATTGATTCCACTGTTAATGTCGGAGGGTGGGGTTCATATTGTTTGAATTCTGAAACATAACTCCTGCACGCTAAGCATAAAGCATAGTTTATTAGACTTGTCTATTGTGTTCAATACTTAAATGTGATGCAATCACGTTTAAGTATTCTAAATTCTTATACAAGGCTTCGAAACAAAAGGGATAATATGAAAATAGAAATAAATTAAGCTATTGTTACCAAACTACCAGTCTCACTTTTGGTAAACGTAATCTCACATATTAATGAAATCCATCATTATTATGATACAAGGCTCGACTAGAAATCATTGATACCTATAAACAACCATCTAATCATTCTCACTCAATCCATTAATGTTTAATAAATGTCTAACAGAAAGAATATTCTTATATATAAATACAATATTGTATCAATGGGTTAGGTTGATTAGTCCTGAACTGATTATTAAGAAATTCTATAAAATAGATCAATTGAATTATTAATTGGGATACAGAGTTGGGATCTCCTCTCAACGAAAACTGTCCTAACACGGTTCCAAGATGATCTATGTTGAGTGAGGTGTGGCTGATGTGCGGATATAGATCATATTAGGTCAGTTGAGATGCTTTTTTTATTGGGAGCAGATCCCAAGCCCCATTGACACCTCTATGCTTTTTTAAGCCAAATAAAAAAAAAGGAAAATTCCCGATAGGTATCCTGTACTTTATGGCGAGTGCCAATTTAGTACCTTAATTTTAAAATGCGATAATCTAGTATCCAAACTTTCATTTTGCGATAATCTAGTACCTATCGTTAATGGACCATCAGTTATATATATCACGTGACCTCATGTGTGATTTAAGACTTTTGAAAATGTCAAAATTACTCTTGAAAATAAAATACACTGTTCACCATATTCTTTCTCAAGAAAATGAAACAGAGTCCAAAGGGCTCACTGCTGGCCACCATCATGGTTAGTGGGAGGATAAAGAGTTCAAGACCGTCCGTCATTCTTTATGACAATTAGCCAGTACCAAGTTATGCAAGACAATGTCACTAAGTGTTGGTGGTGATGGAATGTTGGAGTTTGAAAATGTTAGCTTTTCTGCTTGGAGTGTCTTTTCCCATGACACTTAATGGTGA